TAGGGGTTTATAGGGTTTATAGGCTTTAGGGTTTAGGGGTTTAGGGGTTTATAGGGTTTAGGATTTAGGGTTTAGGGGTTTGCCGTAGCCAATGCCTGTGTCTTTTTGGTCTTGTGGTAATGACCACAAGCCTGAGACTTGTAAGCGGTCTGTGCTGTGTTGATTTCTTCGGAACCCCAGGGCTACGAAGACCCTCCGTCTGCTCCCCAGAGACCCCTTAATTAAGGAATATACCTTAAGTTATACTAGGAACCCTAATCTGATTTAAGGTAGATTCCTTAACTAAGTGGTTTTGGAGTCTCTGGGTCCATTATATCCTATGAAAACCTACGTGCTATTCGGGCCCATGTACGACGGGGGGTGCAAGGAGGGTCCTGGCCCTTCCCATCAGAAGGGCGCTCTCTTGTTTCATAGGTTTTTGGTGGGCTTTAATATGGTCCCAGAGGTGAAGCTTGCACTTGCAATCAAGCCAGAATACTATTTTTTACATCCTCCCTTTGTTACGAACAACTTCACCTAAACCCTATAAACCCTATAAACCCTAAAGCAAGAGCCCAGGTACTGGGAACGGGTGATCGAAGCGCCGGGCACAGGCCTCATCGGCCCCTACGGTGCCTCCCTGCTTTCTCTGACGCCACTGCAGGCTCCTACTAGTAACAATCAAAATAGAGCGTTCGGTGGTAAACGCAGTATAAATATATAAATATAAATAAATATAAATAAATAAATAAATAAATATATATATATATAGATATATATGCTTACGTGCACATCTATATCTATCTATATATATATATATATATTATTGATTGGTTGATATTGATTGATATTTATCTCTTATCTTGCGATATGGGACTACTGGTAGGAACTTGTTCCCTCTGACGCCACTCCAGGCGGCGAGCGCACTCTACGGACTGCTGGGCTCTGCCAAGGCCATGGCCGAGGGGAGGCTGGACTTCGAGGCAAAGCTGCGGCCACTCTTTGGGGATTTAGGGTTCAGGGTTTAGGGCTGGGGTTTTAAGGGGCTTAGGGGTTTAGGGTTTAGTTTAGGGGTTTAGGGTTTGGGGTTTGGGGCTTCGGGGGTTTAGGGTTTATAGGGTAGCTATAGTTGAATATTGTTTGGCTAGCTACATTTAAGGCGTTTAGGCTAGCTATGTTCCGGGTTTGGGGTAGCTGTATTTATAGTGGCTACATTTATAGGCATAGGGTAGAATAAAATGGCGAGGATCAGCCCTTCACACCCAGCACTTGTGTGCTGAGGCAGGCCACGGAATCTGTTCGACCTACATGACGCCCACCCCCAAGCAGCCTGCGATCCGTTGCATGAGTTGGGACCCCGCCAACCAATGTAGAAACTCTATAATCATTGAGGGCTAGCTAGACGAGGAAAGCTGTGAAGACCCTGGCTAGGCTGACGTTGGGATTGAAGCCTACGCCTTGAAGGCTGTGTGCCCGGGGAAGGCCATGATGGTATCGGCATGGTATCTCGGTGCTTTTGCAGCAGAGCTGGCAGCTTTCTCTTTGGTGAGTGCGACGCTGCATCCCCTCGCCACCCTGCCTGGATACCTTCTGGGCGCGGCTGCGAACGGGGTAGCGGCCTGGTCTGCAGGATCCGACCGGTTTCTGGTTCTGACGGCCTCCTCCTGCGTGCTGGTTTCCACGGCCATGGCAGGTGGACAGACGCAGCAGGGCTCTTGTTGACGGGTTTACTTCAAGTTGCCATAATAATGATAATAATGAAACCATCTTATCTACTATAGACTATATAGGTCCCCATTTGTTAGGGTAACTCAAATTATGAAAATCCCTGAAAAAAACCCAGGCAGAGCTTCTGACAAAGCCACATCTTTGCTGGCCCAGGCCCCGGCTGGATCCCAGCAGCCTTCATTTTCATACGCTTCTAGGTAGGCCTTTGGGATATTTTACATTCTCCCTTATTGGGCTTAAGAGGACCCTATTTACTAATATTGGGATAGTTTTATATTTCTCCCTTATTTTTGCTTAAGAGGACCCTATTTACTAGTATTTTTCGGAGGCTTTAAAGGGCCAGCCAGGCTTCTTTGCCTGGGCGGGGCTCTGTTTCCTGGATCTTCCGCATGGCCTTTTGCCTCTGGGCTCCCTGGGGCGACCCATGGGCTCCCCGGTGCTCCAAGCAAAGTTCTTGAGGCCGGCAGCCGCCTGCCGGGAGGCTTTAGTTTGCGTCGCATCGCAAACGTGGATGACGACGGAGACGAAGGCGAATTCGACTGCCACGTCCTTCAGGGCGGAGCTGGGGTTCCATGCATGCAGCTGGCCGTCCACCGGGGAGCTGAGCACAGCATCCACCATCTTCAACAGCTGCTTGTTGTTCTTGGCCGTGGTACTCGTCCCACTCCACCTGTGCGTCGTCCTTACTATGCTGGTCTTGAACCCTACCTATGGCTGTGGAGTGGACAACCTCACTCTGAAGGAGGAGGTAAAAGCAAAGCAGGTTGAAATCGATGCTTTCGCCGCGCAGAACGAAGAGGTGAACGGCGAGTACACGGAGCTTTGCTTGCTTTCGGAATGGGATTCGAATTCCGATTCCGAGTGACTCCGGAAACGCGGCGTGGCCCTCTGTCACTTCCCGGGAAAAACCACGCTGTGAGCGTGTCTGGTGGTGCATAAGCATGAGTTTCTTGAACAGTCGTTGCATTTTCCCCTAAACCCTAAACTCGTGCCTAGGTACCCATGCCAAGCCTGAATGCAGGAGGCCCATTGAACTCTGCTTGAAATTTACAAGACCAGCCTCCGATCTGTTCTTTGCAACCTGTATGGCTTCGTTTATGGGCTGAGGAGGTCGTCGGATGTATCTGTATATGAAATTGTATGTGTATATAAATATGTAGCTAGCTAGCTCTCTCTCTCTCTCTATATATATATATATACATATATATATATACACATACATATGTATAGAAGGCTTGCGGTCTGTCGCACTTTCATGTTACACCCTAAGCCCTCAACCCTGAGCCCTCAACCTTGAGCCATAACCTCTTAACCCCGAAGACGAGCATGGAAGAGCTCTGAGCCGTGTTTAGGGGCATTTAGTAGTTCTCGGGTGCTAAATACGGCTTCTTGATTGAAGTTAGTCATACGGCTTTTCTCTCAGGGTTTGATACGATCTTGTTTCGGGACATCGCGATGGTCGATGGGCTTGAGGCTGTCAGTACGTACTTCATGATTGGTAAACCGCATGATATAGACAGGAAGTCGAAATAGGGGATCCTCATACGAAGGCCCTACTTAAAGATAGGGCGTTTGTTGATCAGGGGTCTTCATTACAAAGTCCATCTTAGATTTGCTGCTCGATGCGCATGCTGGTCGCTAGCGATAAGCTTCGCCCACTCACAAATCTGCCGCTTTGTTGTGCGATGTCGCTCCTCGCTCGCCGCTTTCGTCGAACTCTCAACCGGGTGCCTAAAGGCCTAAACCGTAGGTGTTGAACTGGAATGTCGAAGCTGTCACTCTTCCCTCGTGCGACCTTCAGGCGGGAAGTGGAAACCTGATTCTGCGGGTTAATCGACATCACTCAGAGGTGCCGAGCACTGGAGAGTTCTTGGGATTTACGATTCAGGGCATGTGCTTTAGACTTCAGGGTTTCGGGGTCTTCAGGCTTAGTAGCTGAATGGCTGCACTAAACTTTTTGGGATAATACCATCCCTTATCAGACTGAAAATGTACATTTTCGGGGGCTTATGAATCTTATGAACTCCGAAACTCAGCAGGGAGAAGTCAGCAAACATTTTTCGAGTTGGCGGCTTGGGCTGTGGGCCCCGCAGGCAGATGTCAGCAGTGCGATAATTGCCTATAGATAGGTAGGTAGGTGGATAGGTGGATAAAACGTATGTGTGTGTGTATATATATATATATGTTGTCGTAGCTCCGAGAATTGTCGGCTGGCCCCTACAAATCCTGCAAAGTATACGTCGGAATAGTTCGCACTGTCCCTATAAGATTGCGATATAGTATACCCGTATAATATATACCCCCCCCAAACCCCATCTAGGCCCTGTCGCAGGTACGACTCGGGGCGCAGCATGAGCTGCGAAGCCCCAGCCATGCGTGCGAGGCCGATTTCGCTGTGCAAAAAAAAGTGTGGGGAGGTTTTGTTCACAATGCTGATGCAGAATCTGCAGGGCCCTGAAATGGTTGATCGGAGTGCTATTCTTCAGGGCTCCATCGGGTGCAATAAGTATAGCATAATTTGCTTTAGAAATTCGGTTCTAGTGGCTCAGGCCCGTAATGTAGGGGCCTTAATAAATAGAATTAAGGTTTTGGGGCCCATTATACCATAACTATAATAAGGAACCCCCAAAACCCTATTCTAATTATTAAGGCCCCGACATTATATCGGTGACCTGCCTCATGGCCTGAACTCCAGTGCAAAGCCGACCTGTAACCCCAACATCACACGCTACCAAATAAGGGTTTGCTTTAATGGGGAAACGACAAGGGGAACTATGTCGAAGGGTTTCGACTATAATTCTCAATAGCAAGGGCTACTAATGATATGTAGCCTTTTCGCCAAAAACGAATTGAAGCGATGCCATGACATTTCGATTCTCAGAAACGAAGCAGTTGCGCTCGCACGGCGAGTTCGTGCTTGGTTTCCATTGAAGCCATGGCCGTCCCCAAGGGCTACGAAGCTGTGGTCGCATTTAAGCTTTGCCCACCTGGGGGGATTCTGCTTCAACTCGGCATATACATCTTCGCACCCTTGGCCATATTGGGAAGTTCGTTTCTTTTTTCAACTGTCGACTTTGTTTGATGTACATAAGCCTATAGACTAGAATATTAGCAACAACAATAGCTTATTATCAGCACTAGTACTTTAATGTTAATAACATGCACAACGATAGGAACAAAAAATCAATAATCATGTTGATAGTAGTAATTATATTTATAGTAATGATAATAGCAACGTAGTGATACTAGGTAATAGGACTGTTGGTGGTAATAACAGTAGTAAGATTAACAAAACTATCTTAGCAGTAGTAGTCATGATAATGATGGTAGTCTTAGGAATAATAACAATAATCATTATGATAATGATAATGATACCCATATTAATAACATGAACTGACAGCAATTGTCTGTCTGTCTGTCTATCTGTCTGTCTGCCGGTCTGTCTACCTGCCTAGAAACTACCTGCTATCCAGCTATCTCTCTGTCTCTCTATCTGCCTGTCCATCTACATCTTTCCTTCCTTCTACATATCTATCTGTATCTCTCTTTATCTATCTATCTCGAGCTCTAGCTCTACTCTATCGCTGCCTCTATCTTCAGTTTCTATCTTCTGTAAATCTATACCGCTAGAGCTTTATCTACATCTATGTGTTTATCTAGTTATGTATCTATATCTGTATCTATCTGTGTCTCTATCTCTGTATCTATCTTTATATCTATCTTTATACCTATCTCTTGAGATGTATATGTATCTCCATCTTTGTCTTTAGTTATGTGTGTCCATATGTTTTTATCTATATCTAACTATCCATATCTATCTGTCTGTCGGTACCTATCTGTTCTATCTCTATCTCTACTACAACGGGTAACTCTCTTTGAGTTTCTGGTGTATTCCTGCATCGGAGCTTTGACAGTAGTCAGGACATGGCCAACGACGTAGTGCAAGTTGGAACCTTCGTTCACCACGGCGACTTCTGGTTCGCGGGCTTCATGGTGGTTTTCGTCGGCCTTTGCTTACTTTGCACGAACTTCATGGTGTCTGAGCAGAGTCCACTGAAGCGCTGCGACCTCGTCGGCGAGGCAAAGCTGTGCCTGGCACGGCAAGTGCCGACCCAAGCTTGGCAGGGGATGCTCGGCGCTGAGCGGAACATCGAAGCACCGGGCACGGGCCTCATCGGCCCATACGGGTCCTCGCTGATCGCCCTGACGCCACTCCAGACGGCGAGTGCCCTCTACGGGCTTTACAGCTCGGCAAAGGCCATGGCCGAGGGAAGGCTCGACTTCGAGGCAGGAAGTTCTGAGAAGCGGCTTCAAAGTGGGGTGCAAGTTGGAAGTTGACGCACTCAGGTACGGTCATAACTTGTATTCGCAGAACCGGGAACACGTTAATTTGTGCATCTGTACGCTCAGCACATAACCGCGACCCTTTGGGAGGCTGGCGGTGGTGGCAATGCTCAATCATACTCATTGAAGGCGGTGCGCCCGATGCAGGCCACCCTCCTCTCCGTTTGGTACTGCGGTGCCTTCGTGGCGGAGCTGGCGGCCTTCGCCGTGGTGAGTGCGACACTGCACCCCTTTGTCACCTTGCCGGCATACATGCTTGGTGCGGCGGCGAACGGGGCAGCTGTCTGGTGGGACGGAGGTGATCACCATCAGATCCTGCAAGCGACTATCGCATCTGTTTTGAGCTTGGCCATGGCTATGGCAGGTGGTCAGACGAGCGCCTTGCTAAAACGGGGTGGGTTTCGTGGTCCAGGCTTCATCCCAGCAGTGTTTATCCTCATACGCTTTTGGAGCTGGGCGGCCCTTTGCTGCATGGATCTTCCGCAGGGGCTCTTGCCTATCGGATCCCTGGGACGGCCCATGGGCTTGCAGATTCTCCAGGCCAAGTTCCTGGAGCCAGCCGCCGCTTCCAGCGACGCTCTTCGTTGCTTCACTTCGCACACGTGGGTAGCTACGGAGACGAGGAGGAATTCGACCGTCACGTCTTTCAGCACGGAGGTGGGTTTCCATGCGTGCAGCTGGCCAGCAACCGGCGAGCTGAGCACAGCATCCACCATCTTCAACAGCTGCTTGTTGTTCTTGGCCGTGGTATTCGTCCCACTCCACATCTGCATAGTCCTCGCAATGCTGGTCTTGAACCCCATATACGCATGTGGAGCTGAAAACCTCGGGTTGATAGAGGAGGTCGAAGCGAAGCAGATTGAAATCGACGTTTTCGGACAGCAGAACGAAGAGATGAGCGGCGAGTATATGCTTTGCACGCTTTCGGATTCGGGTTCGCAGTGCGACTCAGATTGACCTCTGTTGCTGCGAAAAGCTTGCGGCTGTTTGTCTGCATTGTAGCAGTTGCGTTTCCCATAGTTCAGAGAACCTCTTGACCCGGATTTTTTGCAAACACCTCAACCTACTAAGATTGGTATGTCGGAATTAGGAGAGGGTCTCGGGTTGTTTTGTCTTGTGGATATACTTTATGAAGGAACCTAATTAGGGAGCAGGCTTGGTACCTTTTCAGACCCTATATCACAATGACAACCGGCTGTTTCCATGAGGCTCAGCCGCATGGATACAAAAATCCGAATGTAAACCCCCCTACACCCTAAACCTTATAAACCCTAAACCCCAAACTTATAAACCCTAAAACCTTTTGTCCCTTCCAAAACCCAGGGACCCCAAACCCCAAGAGCAGTCGGCAGATATCACGACGTCCAGGCCGAGTCAAGGCCTGCAGCCTAGGGGAGGTCTCGCAACGTGGGAGTTTAGGGTTTAGGGTTTAGGGTATTTAGGATTTAATTTAGGGTTTAGGGTTTAGGGTTTAGGGTATTTCGGATTTAGGGTTTAGGGTTTAGGGTTGATGCTTCGAGGGTGGGGTCTTTACCCAGAGGCCCCTATGTAGTTATATATTTAGAATCCTATATGGTAACCCCCAAACGGAACTACTAAGGAGCCTATGGGTAGGGTTGTGCGGGCTACAGTTGATACCAATGCCAAATGCACTGGCCCCTCTAGCGGCGCCTTTCGCACAACGACACAGTAGTATGCTGCTTGGATCGGCGATCTCTTGCTTGATTCCTGCTTTGACCCTTGACCTTTACTGACTATACTGTAGAGTGAAAACGAAGATACCAGTCCTCCCATGATCGACCTACAGGCAAAAAGTGGAAATCCTGCGCGTCCACATCCTTTCCGTGGCGAGTCAGTGCAGATGAAGGAGGAGCAGTGTCCCTTCTCGCAGGAACCGGGGGGGGGGTGGCGGCTCGAACAAATCTGCGATGTGGGAGATGTCAGGTTTGAGGAAAGATCGGTTCCCGATGGTGGCGACAGCTTTGACAACAACCGCTCGTTTCTGCCGTGCGTTGTCATGCTTCAAACTTCGAGTTAGGGGTGGCCGATTTTCAGCTTTGCTTCTAGCTGCTGACGGGATTTGCACCGTGAGGCGTTTTCGGTTCATGGCTGATTCAGATCCCACAGTCAACAGCCCAACAGCGACGTTGGAGATCTCTGCCGTCCCGAAAGGATATGGGGGTAATCTAGGGGCACCATTAATTGCCTATACAATTTTACCCCAAAACCCTATTCTAATTCTAAGGCCTCTATATTAGACGGGCAAGACATTGAAAATTCCCTGTTGGAACGCCCCCCCCCCCCACTGTACGTACTCTGTAGGGTTTAGGGTGTGGTATGGTGTACTATGCACGTGAAGCCTAAACCCAAAGCATAACTTGCTACAGCGCAGCTACTGCGGACCCCTCTGGGTTCGCGACTTTCCTTGGACATGTTTTATTTCAATTCCACCACTGGCAACTGGGTGCTTTCAGGCTTTGTGTTGGTGGCCCTTCTGAATTCTGTTGACTGCTGCATACCCTGAACATCCTTGAACCATTTTAAACCCTATAAACCCTACAAACCCTGTAAGCCCTATAGACCCTAAACCCTACACTCTACAAGCCTTAAACCCGAAACCCTGAACCCTAAGTCTTAAAGCAGGAGCGGCCTGATGCGTGAGCGGCATCCGAGCCCGCGAGGCTGGAGTAGGGATCCCGGCCCTGCGTCCGTCCGGGCGGAGTGCTGGGGGAAGGTCATGTAGGGGCCTAGATAATTAGGATAGGGTTTTTGGGGTATATTTTGGCATAATTCCTTATTTGGCACCCGCCAAAATATTTAGGCCCCTATACATTACATTGAAATTGTTGTTGACCACTTTTGATATTTTCTGCTCTGATGAAGAGATGATGTGGCACCCTGTAATTGCATCCTATTCCACGACGCCTATCTCTCAAGTACAGAGGCCTGAGAACGCCCCTCTATCGCATTCCGCCCTACAGCCATGGCCATGGTTGTGCCGGAGGGCTACCAGCCTCTCGTCGCTTGGAGGCTCTGCCCGCCTGGGGGGATCCTTCTTCAGCTCGGCATTTACATCTTTGCGGCCTTGCGCGCAATGGGAAGTTTCCTTAGTTGAAGAGCCTATGCATAGGGTTTAGTTGCCTGTTGAAGTTGTTTCTGCAAGCGTGGACTGCCTGATTCACTGCATGGGTCCCATAACACTCCGTTGTTTCGTGGTCCGCTTGATTTGGTCCAGGACATGGCCAACGATGTGCTGCAGATCCTAACCTTTGTCGTTCATGGAGACTACTGGTTCGCGGGGTTTATGTTCGTCTTCATCGGCCTGACCTCACTTAGGACAGTCGGCGACAGTCGCAAGTTAAGCACATTGAAGCGCTTCGACCTGCTTGGCGAGGCAAAGCTGTGCCTAGCGCGCAAGGTTCCGACGCCGGCTTGGGCATTCATGCTCACGTCTGAGCGGATGATTGAAGCGCCGGGCACGGGACTCATCGGCCCCTATGGCGCCTCGTTGATCGCTTTGACGCCGCTCCAAGCTGCGAGCGCCCTCTACGGACTTGTCAGTTCCGCCAAGGCCATGGCCGAGGGGAGGCTCGACTTCGAGGCAGTGGGTGCTGTTGCCTGAAACCTCTCGAGGAATCAATAGTCTACAAGTAAGCTCTTTAAAGGGACCCGTTCTTGCATGCGTACGTTCTGTGTGTAGTGAGGGAAGCAGAGTCCGACTGCGACCAATGGGGGAGGCCGATGCGTCTCCATCCTTCGCACTGAGAGCGGTACGCCCGGTAAAGGCCGCCCTCCTCACCGTCTGGTACTTTGCTGCCTTCGCGGCAGAGTTGGCGGCCTTCGCCGTGGTCAGCGCGACGCTGCACCCGCTGGTAACCCTCCCTGCATACTTCTTGGGCGCCATGATGAATGCGGTCGCGCATCATAGCAGCGAAGGGCGAATGGGCACCCTACAATTATTTGTACAATCTTGCATGGCGGTTTCCGTGGCCATGGCAGGTGCCCAGACGGCGGCCTTTTTCAAGAATGTGGATGTAGGTGGCCCAGGCTGGATTCCGGCAGTCTTCATCTCAATACGCTTTTGCACCTGGACAGCCCTGTGCTTCCTCAACCTTCCGCATGGGCTTTTGCCTGTCACCTCCCTGGGACGGCCCATGGGCTTCCCGGTGCTGCAGGCAAAGTTCTTGAAGCCGGCCGCCGCATGCTGGGAGGCTTTAGTTTGCTTCACATCGCAAGCATGGATAGCGACGGAGACGGAGACGAACTCGACACTGATGTCTTTCACTGCCGAGGTGGGATTCGGTGAGTGTGGCTGGCCGGCAACCGACGAGCTGAACACTACGTCCACCATCTTCAACACCTGCCTGTTGGTCTTAGCCGTGGTGCTTGTCACGATCCACATGTGTGTAGTCATCGGGATGCTGGTGGTGAACCCCGTCTATGGCTGCGGCGCTGACGACCTCGCTCTGAAGGAGGAGGTCCAAGCAAAGGATCGTGAACTCGTTAGTTTTGCATCTGAGAACGAGCGAGCTGCAGGGCAGTACACAGAGATGAGCTTGCTGGCAAATTAACTGGCAACAACCAAAGGGTTCTCAAAGCCAAGTCTCAACCCCCCGACGGCTGGACTGTTTACAGCTCAGAGATACCTGGAGCGGAAAAGACGAATGCTCAGATTTGCAACCGGCGCCTGCTTGTCCCAGAGACTCCAACACCCCTTAATTAAGGAATATGCCTTAAACTACACTAGGAACCCTAATATGATTTAAGGTATATTCCTTAATTACTATAATAGGAACCCTAATATGATTTAAGGTATATTCCTTAATTAAGGGGGTTCTGGAGTCTCTGGGGGTCATCTCACTTGGCAAACACCCGCCGCGACCTCTTCCCCACAGGCGAAGAGCTGAACTCCGTTTGAGGCACCGGCCTGGGAGTTTGAGAGGCGTTTGTCAGGGGATTTCGGGTTCAGGGTATGGGGTTTAGGCTGTTTTTAGGGGGATTTCGGTTTTAGGGTATGGGGTTTAGGGTGTAGAGGGGTTAGGGTTTAGGGGTGGGTGGCTTCACTGCTAGACCCGCGGCTTTTGATTTTGGAGGGTGGGATGCCGACGTGCCGGGAGCCTGGAGCGGCTGGTCCCTCGATCTACCCATAGGCTCCTAAGTAGTTCCTTCTTGTGGGAGAAAAAAGAATCCCAAAAAGGAACTACTATGGAGCCTATGGGTAGCTAACAGATCAGGGGCGTAGTAAGTAGGGTTGTAAGTAAGGCAACTGGATAGCTATATGGCTATATGGGTAGTTCTCTAAATTAGGGTCCCTCTTTCGTTTCGGTCCCCGATATAGTACGGCACCCTTATAAAAAAGGACCCTAAAAGGACCCTAATTTAGAGAACTACCCATATGTTTCTCAAAGTCTGATCAGTTATAAGTTATAAGGTGTTGCAACCTTAGTTACGAAGTCCACCGATCCTTTAAGCAGATAGCCTCTAACTTAGGCCACAACTTAGCGGGCTGCAACGGCTCTATATTAGGCTCGTGGACCGAAGCCGAGGATGCTTAGGCAGATGATGTTGCACACCCATGTTCAGGCAGGATGCAGATGCTCATGACCTTTCGGACGTGCATGCTGATTGTAAATCCACGTCTGCGTGCTGGTGACTTCGAGCTAACTTATCTTGAGGAAGCGGCTGCTAGCACAGGATGACATTCGCAACCATATCCATACACAGCCAAGGCCCTAATTATCCCGAACCTCCTGAAACCCTGACATCTATACGCCTCTAGCATGCTGAATCCATGATCACTGTATGGATAGTTTTTCTTTTACAAGTGTGCCGACGTTGCCAAACTATACTTGTGACCTGAACAGGGACCTTAAACTTTACCCCCAACTTAAACCCCAAACCCTAAAAATCTGATTTAGAGAACTACTCGTATCCAATTCCTTGAGACCTTTGAGCTCCTAGAATGGCTTCGTCGCGCGCACCAACGGGTTTCGGGTTTAGGGTTGGACCCGCCCTATAATCTCGTTCGGTCCGAAACAGCCACATTATACGGCAAGATCAGCCGGATAAGCAAACAACACAAACATGAATATAGCTAAATACATAATATGTGCATGCATATGAGATACTGTTTGTGTATGTATGTATGTGTATATATATATATGACTACACAGAATCTATCTATTTATTTACCTATCTATCTATATCTGTATCTACGGATCGATCTACCTATCTATCTACCTATCTATCTATCGATATACCTATCGATCTATCTACCCATCTATCTATCTATCCATCTTTCGATCTATCTATCCATCTTTCGATCTATCTATCTGTCTATCTATCTGTCTATCTATCTATCTATCTATCTTTCTATCTATCTATCTATCTATCTATCCACCTTTGGATCCGTATGTAAGAACCATCTCATGCAAATCTTTTGGGAACAGCCGAAGTGCCCGCTTCTCGCTTGGAGCTCGGCTCTTCCCAGCTGCTTGTCCCATCCTCGTGGTCACGTGCGCGAGCCCTCAGACAAAAATGGCATCGGCGGCAGGCCGGAGCGGGGTTTCTGTTAGGGGTTTCGGGGTTTGGCGGTGTAGGGCTTAGGGACTAAGGAACTCAAAGAACTCCTTGGAGTCCTTAGGGTTCTCAGGGAGGAGTCTGATTGTAGGATTCAGCTTCTTCGGAGTATGGGGGGTTTCGGTGTTTGGGGTTGTAGGGTTAAGGGTGGCGCATTACACTCTGGGCTGGTCAGGGTTGCACGCAGGACGCCGAGACGCGTCAACTCGTGTAATTTGCGAATTCGGCATCCTACACGAAAGCTCCAGAAACCTTTCACAACTTAACCCCAACAAATGTAATTCGGCACACTCTACAACTTGACAAGCCGTATGGTAGGATTGTTTAATTGATGAGTTTGTAGGGTGTAGATGCAGTTGCGGCGCAAGTCGAACTGTACTATGTGCTTACGATCCTGCGTCTGCATATTTGGATGCTGTCCTATGTATGGCTTTGCACCTGGATTCTTTCAAACCTTATGGTCCTACCAGATCACAGGGGTGGGAGATGTAGCATAGCTTATGACGATCCGGTGAGATTAGGCAACCAATAGCAGGAAGAGCAATTCAATTCAGGGTTGAGTTTATGGTGTTATAAAGCCCTTATGAAAGCCTTCCTTACGCCATTAATTGATAGAGACAATAACCTTCCGCCCTAAACCCTAAGCCCTAAACCCTAAACCTTATAAACCCTAAACCCTAAGCCGCTTATGCCATGAAGAACCCTAAACCCTAAGCCCTAAACCCCAAGCCCTAAGCCCTATAAGCCCTAAGCCCTAAACCCTAAGCCACCTTCTTCCCACGGCCCCTTTCGAAGGAGCCGGGGGCTCCTGCTGCGGGGCGCCGGGGGCGGCGACCGGGGGCCCCCCACCATCCCTGGCCTGGAACAGCATGGCGGAGCCACCGGGGGCTCTAGGGTTTAGGGTTTAGGGTTTATAGAGTATAGGGTTT